CCATCATTGGGCTGAGACTGAGAGCGACGTCTTGCACCGAGCTAGGTATAGTGTAGCTACTCTTTCCTCTTTGGAGACGACGATTTGCCGATGGATAGCACACCGTTTTGCTTGAATTAATTCAGTCCAGTATGGAGGACAGGATCTCTCACAATTATATATTTACCTCCTGCTGGCCTTATATAGTTATATGCCGTTACGTAACAGGTCGTTTATGCATCGGAGACGGATCACGGAATAGCTAGAAGGCCAAGTAGCAGTTCCGGCGGGCGAGATACGGTGTACGTAAAGCACACAGTGTCCAAGTCGCAGTTCCATGCATACTTGAAGCCTAATCAGCACCCGACGGCGACAGGACCCAGCGCCCTCGATCGACCGCGAGGCCTGCCGTCAGTCAGGCGAACGAACAAGACTCTGCACGAACGCAAGGAGGATAGAAAAAAGAATACTCGTACCCAATGTAAGTGCCATTGACAATTTGCAGGGAAGAATGGCCGCTCGTGGACAACTGGTAAATGCAGACGAGTTGCTGCCTTACTGGTCAAAATCAACTGCAACCAAAGTGTGCAGGCAAGTAGTGCAAGTGCTGCATACAGGAGAGAGGAGATCATCTCCCATGACTCATGAGAGTCATCGCCTGCCGCAATGGCTGTAACAGTTGTTTATTGGAGTACTACATCACTTAAAAAAAGGATTTAGACAAAGAGGCCGGTGTGGCGTACGACACGGGCCGGCTAGCTGCAGATTATTACTTGCTTGGATCAAATGCAATGCAATACGGTCCATGATCACATAAATAAATGTGAAACCTACCGCTTAGTCGGCTGGTGATACGTCAGGCGACGAGTTCATAGCTAGCTAGATAGACCACATTTGGAGCAGCAGCAGCCAGCAGGCCCGGCGCCGGCCGTTGCCCTCGCGACGGCGACCGCCGGCTTTCGGCGTGGATGCACACGATCCAACCTCCAACCTCCAACGCCGACGATGATTATTGAATACTACGCTCTCGCAGGCGCCGGCAGCAGGACAGGAACAGGAAAACAGCCCAACAGCAGCATCGATCAACAGGGGAAACCAAAACGTGCGGCTAGTCGTCATATTCGTTTGGTTTATAAGCTATATTTTTTTAGCCAACGAATAGTATTTTTCTCTTATAATAAATCAGTCAATGATATTTTCAACCATGACTTACCAGCGAACAGGGCAAATGCCGACTGTTAGTATGTTAGCGCTCGGCTGCAGATGGGCGCATCATGGGGGAGGGATTAATTAGAGATTGATGTTGAGGCCGAGGCCGACGTGTGTTAGGCGAGACGGATGGCGTAATGGCGCTCCGCCGAAGACACAGCTTGCAATCACAATGGCGTTGCGAACTGCTCCTACTACTCTGTCTCTACTCTCACTCTAGTCTAGTAGTACCACGTCACTGTTGTCTGTTCAATCGCCACGGCCACGGGGATGATATGATGGCGCCAAGGCCACAGTTCCCAGTCCTCGGAATGCCCTGTTTACTGGCGGCCATGCGCGCTGACGCAGCAGTTCAGTGCGTGACTTGCACACGCTTGGGAACAGCCACGTGTAGCGTATGTACAGCGTGACAAACAAAGCATTTTGGTATGGATCTCTGGCCTAGCTAGTGGGGGAGCAGAAGGATCGGATCTGATGAATTTTGTAGTAGCAGCCAGTAGTGGCTGCATGGTCCATGCCCAGTTGCCGGTGGACCTGGCTTCCGTTTCTCTCAGTGTTCTGCAGAATAGATGATTGCCACGTCGTGGTGTGCATCTTATGGATTGCTGTATTATTTGAGAGGGACGTACTGGTGGCCGGGGATTTGGACACCTCGCCGGTGGCCAGGTGAACCGAACGTGCGCCGTCTTTTGATTGGGGGGATGGGATGGAACACTGGGAAACAAACAAGCGGGGTGGTGGGCAAACAAATGGAAATATTTTGTAGACAGCTCAGTAGTCAGTACTATGCGCCTTGTCGTGGTCCTGCGACTTCCCCCCACCCCCACCCACCCATCCACACACACCACCACCACCACCACACACACACACAAAAATGACGGACAGTGCTAGTAACTCTGAAGCCTGAAAAATAGCTACTCATACCAATGAGAATGGAGATCAACAAAATGGAGAACAAGAAGGACATGAAATCCATTAGCAGCTCTATCAGTTATATTTCATTATTGGCATTCCTTGACCAATAGAAAAAGAAAGAACGTTATCAGTCTCCAGACGCATCTATCTATAGAAAAGGAGTAGGACACCTGATATGAGGGATTCAAATTTGTCCCAAGTTAACTATCCTAGTTTTGACATAATTCATAAAGAAGAACAATAATATTTATGTTATCAAATAAGTATTATTCAATACATTATGAAATGTGTTTCATCGTTTATGTGGTACATTGTACATGTTAATACTCTTGTGAGTTTCGCACTGAGCAGGGCTTCAACTTGGGAAGATTTCATGGGACGGAGCCAAGAGCAGGCGAAGTGGCTCAAGGTGAAGATCCACAGGCCAACGCCTACGTACATCTCAAACTATGAAAGTTTGGGAAAACTGCCAAAGTGTAAAGATCGTTTTGCCTGTGCATATTCAATAATATTTGTAAAACCTAAGTCAAAAAGGAGTGCAAAATGGTCAATGAGAAGTGCATTTGCTCTACTCCTGGTATGAGGAAAAAGTCCAAATTACCCCCCTCAAGTTTGGCATATATCCGGATTACCGCTTTAACTTACATTTGGTTCAATTTACTCCCTCTAACTATTTCAGTTGGTCTAGTTTACCCCTTAACATGATTTGTTATTTTTGTTTTCCAACGTATTATATTAAAAAATATATCTTAACTTTTTTCCACTATTTTGATAGCTTTGGAAATTTAATAATAAATTAACACTAGAGATACAATATCGTATAAAACATAATGATGAAAAATTCATAGTGCATTTTTCTAACATAAAATACAATGTCTTCTATCACCTCACAAAATTTGAAACTTAAATATAATTTGTACATAGAGAAACAAAAAAGGAAAATCTTTTTAAGGTGTTAGTTGGACCAACTTAAATAGTTGGAGGGAGTAAACTGAACCAAATGTTAGTTTGGAAGGTTATTTGGACATAGGCCAAACTTGGAGGGAGTAATTTGGACTTTTTCCCTAGTATAACTGGGCCTTTTAGACAGCCGCAGCGGCATGATTTTTTTTCGCGAGCTTGTCCTTATGACATGTATTTCATTAAGCAGAAACATAGTTTGACTGGTTACCACATCCCCAAGTAATCCATAGATTACCGTGGAAGGATGGAAGACAACACGATCCAAATAAACCTAACTTAAATTACATTATATGAAAGTTATGCAACCAATTGAGCAAATGCCAACGAGACTAGCAAGCCTGCTCGAACATAAACTCGAACCCCGCCACGTCGAATTGCATAAGCGCACGAAGTGCGGCCCTTTTTACGGAGTTGAGCGAGCCGTGGAATGACCGCCGAAAGTCTGCCACTACCTGGTTATCCGACGACTGTGAGGCGGTGTGTTCTCACTGGACATAAGCACCTTCTACGCTTGAAGGGTGGCATTAGGGGCTCGAGAGGCACACTTTACCGCCAGACGCGTGCTACGGCAGATGGTGACCGATGACGAAGAGCGACGGGTTCGACGTCGGGTTGTCGCCTTGAGGATAAGAGTCTTCAGCGGGGCGAAGACACGCCTAGCAAACTTCCTGACGAGGGCCGAAGGAGAAGTCGGCATAGAGGTAGGTAGCCGATCATCACCAATTAATACCACTGCCAGGAGCATTCATCAATTTCACCCTTGCATCTCTGTCAAGTTCACGAACCCCAACAGACCAACAATGACGTCTTAAAACAGCCTAGAAAACTTTGGACGCGATGGATTTTTTTTTATTTTCAACTAATCGTGCAAGGGTGTGTGCATATAAAAAACCGCTTTGTAAAAAAAAAATTGATCTCCATCATAAAAAAGATGATAGATATCTTCTAAGGGGCTGCTAGACTTCGTGGTCATTTATTGGGCTGAGTCATCGCCTTATTTACAATGGGCCGCATAAGAAAAGTGGCCCGTTAGTCTCACACAATCCATCCCGAGAGCGCATCGTTTAATTCTGCTTTTGCTTTATTTTCGTTTCTCTATATTCCTATATGCTTCTTCCTTTTCTTCCTTATAATCATTTCACTTATTTGGTTTATATAATTCTAGTTTTCTTCATAATATACACCCTCCATTTGTATTCCTATTTTATTCATTTTCAACAATTTCTATTTTTGCTCAGACCGTCTCTATCTGATGCTGAAAACACCCATTTTCTTTGTTTTGAACAATTTATCCTGAAGGAAAAATACTTTAAAATACATGTTTAAAACAAATCATGTTTAATTATAGAACATCTTTTTATTTAAGTTTAGATATTTTCTGCTGAGTTGGTAATTTCTAAACGGAAATATATGGAACAAATCACATATATTTCGTCCAGAATATATTTTGTTTAAGTAAGAACATTTTTCTTGTCAAGCTACATATATATAGTTCTAGGACATTTTTACTCGGAGCATTTTCTTTGCTTTTTTTAAACACCAGGATACCTTGTAGCATTTGTGGACTAGTGAGCAGGAGTAGTACTTCTCTCTTTCTCGTATGAGAATAACCCAACTCAGTTACCAACTTACCGTTAAGATATTGCCCAGGATTATCAGAATTTTCTAAAACAAGCCGCGGTGAAACTCTCAGTTGAACATGATTAAAACTCGAGTGACAACAAGCATCAGGAGTGCAGAGAGCAGCAGCACTTCCTGCTGGAATGGAAACAACGCGCAGTCACGAAGAGAAAGCACACATCTCAGCCATTCCGAACTCCCAGCCCCGAGCTCAGTTACCTCGGGTGATTATTCGTCGAAGTAGGATCACCACACGGCACACGCACGCGGCGCGCCGGCCTTCGCTCGCTCGCAGTCGCAGCGACGACGTCGCTCTACGCTTCCTCTGGTATGCCGTCCAGCGCGGGCCTCCAGTCGCCGCCGCGCCGCGCAACGCCCGCGCCCTCCTCCGGCTCCGAGCGCGGCGGCGCGCGCGCCACCCGCCCTTCCAATGACACGGCCGTGACTATATGCCGGCGGCTCGGCGCGGCTCCGGCTCCGCTGCACTGCCTCCGCGTGACGCCCATGGCGATGCGCTCCAGCTCGCCCCTGCTCACCACGATCTTGGCGCGGACGCCTTCGCCGCCTCGTGACACGACGGTGACGCCACCGCCGCTGTGAAGCGCTTGCCGACGCCGAGGGCTCCCGAAACGGAAGAAGCAGCTGTGCATGCTGGTGATGGCACGCAGGTTAGGTACCTTGTCTGTGGCGAACCTCGAACCTACTGGCCATGGCGCAGTTTGCTCGGGCCTATATATAGAGGAACGCGCGTGCTGTACGTACGCATCGGCCGTCTTGTTGATGGAGCTGGATTATTGTTCTTCTACGGCTGAGGCGGCGCCTCACGAGTCATGATCACGAGGCATGATCCGGCCGGCTGCTTGATTCGTCAGCTGACTTTCGGGATTGAGAATGAAGCCGGTAAGGGTCAAATGAGGCGTTTTGGCTCCGGCCGCTACACATGACTGATGCATGGTTTGATGATTCCAGTATATATTCGACTGCCCAATGCCCAATGCCCAATGCCTACTACGTGATGCCACGACAGGTTGGTTGGCGCCGTTCTCGCCCAATGATTTGCATGCGTCGCCGCGCCACGGGCTTACCTGACGATAGATCATGCTTGTGTATGTAAGGAGACAGTTTCATGATTGTACATGCATCCGAAAACTGCTAGCTAGTCCAATGATAGCTTTGCATTATTGAACTCTGATCATGTACTCTATATTCTGGTCTGTACTCCTTTCTCTCCTAAAATAAGTGTCATTCTTACTTATTATAAAAAAGTCCGTAACTTTAACCAAATATATATATATATATATATATAAATCATTTATGGTGCATATTAGTATTATTAGACTAATTGTTGAGTATATTTTTATAATAAACTTATTTAGAGATAAAATATTACTATTTTTTTACAAAAAATAGTTAAACTTTAAATGGTTGTATGAAACTTAAAGCGATGTTTATTTTAGGACGAAAGGAGCATGCACCACCGTAGCTAATGTCAGTTGCGTGGGAAAAACAATTCAGTGGCATGCGCATGACCCCAACCCCCAAATAGCGCCTATCAGCTCTGCAAGGTGACTCATCCGTTCAAAGTTGCACTGCAAAAGTAATTTAGATGCAGAGTTAGATGTGATTGTTGTTTATTTTAAATAATGACATATATGTGCATACTAATTTAGATGCATATTATATCTTTTCCATAATGGGAAAGACGAATAATTTGAAGAAGATTTAAAAGATTATTTTAGGTTATTTTTCACAGAGGCATATGTAGCTAGTAATCAATTAAATTCCATGTATGTTGGTGTCAAGTATATAACCTTGGATGGATGTTTTGCTTTTATTTTCCGACGAGCCATCCTCAGGTCAAGCATAAATGCATAATGCGCGCAGAAACCAGCCCATGAGAGCTAGTGGAAATCCTTTGGCCTAACATCTAGTTCATTCACTGGCCCAAGTAGGAAATCCTTTCTTCTTCAGATTGACAGTTGTCACGCCTTTTTTTTTTTGTTTTGAACGCAAATATCTTCTTTCTTTTTTTCACCAACCTTTTTCTAGTGGTTTCTTTACATTGGGTCCCCATTTGAATAGGCTAAAGATTTTGGGATTTTGATAAAAAATATACACACCATCCAAACAGGGTAGATAGTAAAGCAGATTCTCAAAGTCTTATTCATTCAAAGTCTCAAAATCCCATAATTTCCTTCACACTAGATAATCCAGATTTCTAGAATCCCTAGTCATCCAAACGACATCTATAATGTATTTGATTTGTTTCTCTAAACCATGTTAAGTTTTTTTTTATCTACTACAGTTCTATTAATTTTATGGAACATTGACCATTTCCACATACTTTCACTTTGTTGGAACAAAATGTTTGTTTATGCAATACATAAAATTACGCATAGGGAACAAATCGTACAAGTACAAAGCCACAGAACAAAAAAAAAATCGTGCTGCCAAGTGTGCTCAACAAGAACTATTCATATGAACAAAAAGAGATGAGCTAGGTGGAAGTTCACAAGAAAATAGTTCTAGATTCAGGAGGAGTATTCCATCTTGTCAAGAAGACTATTCTAGTTTCATGAGAAACCAATTCAGGCTGAGGAAATAAATGTACAACTTCAGAAGAAAAATAACAAAAGTATAATAAAAAGTCTGTATATGTTGGACACATCACTAATAAATCATGCAACTTGTGGAACAAAAAAATATGTGCACCTGAAACAAAACATCGCGGATACATGACCAACACTATAAAAAAACACAGTATAAATTAATTAGAAGCTAAATATACACTGGCGATACCAAATTATGCAAGCTAGAAAAAAATGAATATTGGTTGCTAGAACATAAAGCTCCCTAGGATAAAACCAATCCACTTGGATTCGAATTCTTGACTTGGCAGGAGTGTCAGTAGTATGTGATATGCCTGAGTTCGTCAATTTTGAGACTTGCGTTGCGTGCCTAATCTTTTGGAGGTCTCTATAGGAGCAGAGTAAGGATGTGTGCATGTTTGTGAGGGTCTTTGTTGGGTGACTAAAAAAATATGCAAGGTAGAGAGAAAAAAAAAGAAAAACAAGAATGGTTTCTGTAATAATAATAGACGAAAAGTAAAAGAAAGGAAAAGAAGAAAAGCCAGAAAGCGGACCGTGACAAACCCCTCTCTGCCTTTGTGGCCGCTGCACTTGTCAAAATCTCAAATCCGTGACGTGGGTAACTCGGCAGGCACTCCGCAAGCCCGCGAAGACGACGAGCCAGTAAAACGCGCGCGGGAATCCTCTCGGACGCATCACGCAGATCCATCCCGCCGCCCCAGAATCCGCAGCAGTTTTGCGTGAACCTGGTGAAGTGGAATTAGTGGAAGAAGCTAGGGGACGGCACTGCGCGCGGCCAACAAGCACCGTTGTCGCATGCATCGCCCCTCCGGGCAACCCCGGGACGGCCGGCCTGTCCTCGGCTATACACTTTGGTCGATCGCTCTGATCTCGTTTCGTTTCCTTGTTCAACGCGTCCATCAATCACATGCGCGCCATTCCTTTGCATCATTATTGGTCGCAATGCAAGTGCGGTCATCGTACCAGCAGGAGCAGCAACGTCCGGCCGGACGCGGACGGAGCGCCACTAGACTGACGCGCAGCTGCAATACGTACGAGAGCGCGCACATACACCAGTGGCCAGGCGAAAGCTAGCCCGGCCAGTGCGTGCCTGTAAAATTAAAGGCGGAGTGGACGAGTGTGGTTCTCTCATGCATGCCCACTAGGTAGAGTACAAATCAAAAGCTCCCCCATCCCCAACCGTAAAAGATGCGCGGCGCGGATACTTCGCTAATCACACGTTCACAAATCACACCTACAGAGTTTCTTTTTATTTGCAAAGCAAGAGCATCTCCAAGAGTGTCCTAAATTTTCCTACAAAAAAAATCCACGTCTTTCAACTCCTAAAAATATATTGAGAGAACAAAAGAAGTCCATCTCCAACAGCTTTCATTAATTCACCCATAAAATATAGAAGACAATTTTACATCAAGAATTTTATACTATTTCTAAATTATTTTAACTTATTTTATATATTCTTCCGCTCTTGTACATTTTCATCTGGAACACTTTCATACTTTTTATTTTTTTTCCGCCCTTCCACCTTTAATTGGCTGAAGAATAGGCGAGTATCCGCGTGACCGTGACTCCGCGCAAAGTTACGTGCAATAATGGAGGAGGATTTCCTAGTGCGTAAATTTTAGGAGGAAGGATTATGAGTTGTTGGAGAGGGATTTTTTCTCATCTTGCCAAAAATCAAGGATTGAAAAAGAAAATAGGGTACTCTCGGAGATGCTCGCTTTGCATGCTTTTCCAAAATGTTTTTTTTATATAAAAAGCACTGGTTCTCTCTACTATGACGATGCTTCTCGCTAATATACAAGCTAGCAGCTCATGGCATGCCGTCCTCGTGGACGTACGCAGCACGTTCCAAAGAATTCAAAAAAGCTAGCTGCTGCCACTGATCTCCACCGAATTGATATATGTATCAACAAGCAAGTTAAATATGAAAAGGAATACGAACGAAGGTGAAAGGCACCACCAGCAGCGCCAATTTTTTTCTCCCTTCGTGCAGTGAGCAATGCAAACCGATTCTTATATATCACCTATATTATATATATGCACTGCATTGCTTTCTACCCTGTCGTCCTTTTCTTTTTCCCCCTGGCTGCTGATCCTTTTTCTAATTTCGATTCGACGGGCTAACCTTCAAGAAAATGCTACCCAGATCGGATCCGCAATATCATATATATATGTCCAGAGTCCACAACACCTTTAGTTTACCTTGCTTTTGATCTGGGCTCTGGTGGACTTTCCTTGCTTGTTGGGCTAAGCACATATCGATCGACCGGTCGACGATGGATCTCTCTTCTGTCTTCTCTCCTCTCGGTGACATCTGAGACGTACGCTGCTATAGCAGCTAGCGCCCTGCAAAGCTACTAGCTAGCTATAGCATCTCAGTATATATAAAACCAGAAGGAGCGAATGAACCTAATAAGCTTATATTAGTATATATATTCAGGAGGGCAAGAAAGAATAGAAGAGAGGCCGCGCGCGTATATTAACAAGAATAAGAAAGAAAAGAGAGGTTCGGCCGGGGAACTGATCGATGACGACGGAGGAGGTCGCGGGGCTGGGGCACCTGCTGGTGTTCGCCTTCCTCTTCTGCTTCTCCGCCTTCATGGTGGCCCCCGTGATGACCGACGTCACCATGGCGGCGCTCTGCCCGGGCCGCGACGAGTGCTCCCTCGCCATCTACCTCACTGGTCTCCAGCAAGCGGTGATTCATTAAACTCCCTACCTGGCTAGCTCATGGCGCCTAGATAGATCATCCCTGCTTCTTCATCCTTCCCTGCTAGCTAGCTTCCCCAATTCACTGCATCCGCATGCACGCTGGTTCGCTGCGTCCGCGAGCGGAGCGAGCGAGCGAGCTGGGCGCGCAATCGTGCATGCATGCGTTTATTTTGATTTCGTTCGTTTTTAATAGTTTAATTAGTGCAGCTCAACCCTTGGACCGCCTCTACATTACTACCTAAGCTTGCAATCGATAGCCGCTGCTGCCTGTCTTTTTTTTTGTTTTCTTTCTTTCTTTCTTTGTGTGTACCAGTCAGGATGCACGAGAA